AGGAGAATTGCCTGAACCCAGGAGGCGGAGGTTGCGGTGAGCCGAGATCGCGTCATTGCACTCCAGCCTGGGTAACAAGAGCGAAACTCCGTCTCAAAAAAAAAAAAAAAAAAAGAAGCACGATTATAGAAGATTGACATCATTACAACCAGAGTCCCTGTTCTCTTACCTACCTTATTATTGCAGGTAGTGGTAGCATATTGGGGAAGTTAGGTATGAGTGTCTTAGACACAATTTAAGTTTCTACAAGTATTAATTGAGTTATTACTATGTGTCTGACACTATTCTAGATGTTTTCATATACTACATAGGAAGTGAAGGATGTACAAGACAAACTAAAATGGAGAATACAGAGTGAGACCTAGGATCTATTGACTGCCTATGCTAAGTGAGGGCATTTAATCCTCATAACAGTGCTAAGTGGCAAAGTTACTAGCTCTAATGAAAGTCAGAAAAATGAACTAACACGTGCAATATTAAGGAGCTGAATTTTAATTCAGATCTGTTGCCAAACCCCGTATTCTTGCTACTGGATCTCCTGTCTCCAAGTAAGAGAATGGTGAATGGAGTGTGAAGTGTGGTGCCATGGGGCCCCCAATTCTCAAGATGTCCATCTGAATACTTATATTCTGCTCAAAGACTAGCAGCTTGGAATCATGTTCACCCCTGGCTACTGTGCCCTTTGTAGATGATCTTCTGCACAAAAACCAACAGCTGACCATGCAGGTCGCTTGCCTGAACCAGGAGCTTGCCCAGCTGAAAAAGCTGGAGGAAACAGTTGCCGTTCTCCATGAAAGTCAGAGGTAGGAGAGGGTCTATCTAGCTTGCTTCTAGAAGCAGATATTCACTCCTTTTGTCTCCTTTGTTTTACCTGGAAAGTTAATATCTATACACTTTGCAAATAAACTCCATTCTATGTATAAACCTCCTGTATCTGGCCTGTTAGCTCAGGGATTATAAAAATTACTGCTTCCCAGGACACACCAGGGACTGTCTTTGCTAGTGTTGGTGGGTTGCAACACCTCGATAATTAGCTTCTCACTGGATCTGATGGGACCTTTGTTTGGGTCAGCTAACTTTTTTGGGAGGTCAGTATATACCCCTAAAATCAGCCATCTGGCTCCTCTGGAAAATGCCTGCTATCAGTCACGTAAGACTTCAAGAGCACTCGGCAGGGAGTTATAGGGAAAGAACCCAAAGTATGAGTTTCCTTCAGAGGAGCTCAACAGCATCAGCCCTTAAAGAACAGCACCCCCAGGATACAAGTCAGGCAGAAAAATCAGAAGACACCTCAAGACTATGGCTACATTTAGAGAAGCCCTTGAGATTTTGGCTTGCCTATAATTTATGAGGACTTTCACTGCACTCCATCCCCAAACCTTCAACCTCCAACTTCACTTCCTGATTTTCATTTGGTTAGCTTTGATTCAGAGGATTAGACCCAGAACCATTCTGGATTGTTCTGAAAAGCTTATCATTATTTCAAACATTACAAAAGTAAACAGAATAGCATAATATGGTGCTCAAACTTGGTTATACCTCTGAATTAACTTGAAGTACGTGTTGAAATGCAGATTGCTGGGCCTCACCCCACAGTTTCTGAGTCAGCAGGTCTGGGTTGGGAACTGAACATTTGCATTTCTTTTTATTTTTATTTTATTTTATTTTGAGACGGAGTTTCACTCATGTTACCCAGGCTGGAGTGCAATGGCGTGATCTCGGCTCACCGCAACCTCTGCCTCCTGGGTTCAGGCAATTCTCCTGCCTCAGCCTCCTGAGTAGCTAGGATTACAGGCACGCACCACCATGCCCAGCTAATTTTTTGTATTTTTAGTAGAGACGGGGTTTCACCATGTTGACCAGGATGGTCTCGATCTCTTGGCCTCATGATCCACCTGCCTCGGCCTCCCAAAGTGCTGGGATTACAGGCGTGAGCCACCGCGCCCGGCCGAACATTTGCATTTCTAATTAGCTTCTGGGTGATGCTGTTGCTGCTGGCCTGGAGACCACACTTTCAAAACATTAGGATATATTGCTTTAGTGATGAACAGTCAAAATACCCTCTTTTAAATTAAACAGAAATAATCTTTGTGTGTGTTAAACCATACAGTTTCCTTTGTTTTATTTTGCTTCTGATTCTTATGGAATTTTTAAAAATTTTTGATTTAATCTTGTTTTCATAATTATGTAAAACATTTACACAGTCCCAATGTCAACTGTATAAGATAAATCCAGAAAAATCCAGCTTCCTTATCTGTCTTTGCTATCCTTTCCTTCCCTCCCACTATCCTTCTATTGTAGGTGTGTATATTTATATCCTTCTATTGTAGGAGTGTATATTTGTATTTCCTCATTATTACATAAGAAGACACAGTGTTGCTTTAACATTTTATGAAAATCCATTCATAGTGGTGTGTAGAGTTAGTTCTCATTCCTTTTACTAGTTGCATAGTGCTCAGTTGTGTGGATGATATACCATTCATTTAATTAGTCCTCTATAAATGGACATTTAGGTTAACATATTTTGCTGTTAAAAATGGTACTATAGTGTGTGGATGGCTTTTAACATTAGATGATAATACAGACCGGGTGTGGTGGCTCACGCCTGTAATCTCACACTTTGGGAGGCCAAGGGCAAGTGGATCACTTGAGGTCCGGAGTTTGAGACCAACTTGATCAACATGATGTAACCCTGTCTCTACTAAAAATACCAAATTAGCTGGGCATGGTGGCACATGCCTGTAATCCCAGCTACTAGGGAGGCTGAGGCAGGAGAATTGCTTGAATCTGGGAGGCAGAGGTTGCAGTGGGCCGAGATCCGCATTGTACTCTAGCCTGGGCAACAAAACCGAAACTTGTCTCAAAAAAAAAGTTAGATGGTAATGCAGAGTTCAGTATACTCATGACTAGCACCATTAGTGAATTGCAGTGGCAGGATAGATTAGAAATAGGTGTTACAATTTGGGGTAGAAATTGGAGGCCTGATCAGGTGCCAGTGACCCAGGGTTTCTACTTACCTCATCATCAAGATGCTTTGGAGAGAACAGAACAACCACTAGCTATATGTAAAATGGGAAATGTATTATTGCTTCAGTAAGTCTGGAACATAAACAGAATTGTAATGAAGAAACTGTAGTTCTGCTTTTAAAATAATCATAAATTGGACAGTTCTTTCTATTTAAAGATATGACTTCATTTCACATTTGTCTTTGGGAAACATTTTGGGTCTGCATGGTATCTCTCTTGCTTTTATGATTTCATGACTGCCTTTTTCCCTTGGACCTCAGATCCCTGGTGGTAACTAATGAGTATCTGCTGCAGCAGCTGAATAAGGAGCCAAAAGGTTATTCTGGGAAAGCGCTCCTGCCTCCTGAGAAGGGTCATCATCTGGGGAGATCATCACCCTTTGGGAAAAGCACGTTGTCTTCCTCCTCACCAGTGGCACATGATACCAGTCAGTATCTCATATAGAGTGTCTCAGATGCTACCCCAGAGCCTGGCTTATGGAGCTAGCATGAAACTCACACCACAGCTTCCCTGGTCCACACAGAGGCTCTTACCGCCATTGACACCGGTATGGTGTATGTACTCACAAAGATTAAGAAAGAAATGTATTCTAATTAGATTGTATTGGTCCCACTTTTTATTTATCTCCTCCTATTGAGTCATTCTTTCCTTCTGCCCACAGAAACAGTTGGCACTTGGTTCCAGCAATTGTATAGACATTGCATAGAGACATTTGGCTGAAAATGTTGAAAGGGAAAAAAACACTAGACATTTTTCCCCTGTGTCCTTTGCAACTGTGTGGTAGAAAGTTAAAAAAGAACATCCGCCAGATTCATCAAACAGGGTTTGATTACCTCCTGCCATGGTGAAAAGCTGACAACATCTGGTGTCTGCCCTGGAGCAGCCAACTATTTAGTTAAGGAAAAAAGCAAAAACTAATGTGATGGGGCCCAAAGCTTGGGATTGGTACCAAATAGGTCTAAACAAAAGCCCAGAGATGCCCTGAAGAGGGAGAAAGAGTGAATAATGCCCACTGTAGGATTGGAGAGGGTGTCAATAAGGCTTGTTTGAATGGAAGCTGAAGAATGAGTAAGAACGGTAGCAGGTACAGGGGGTGCAGAGCCTCCTAGGCCAAGAGTACATAGAAGAGTCTGGAACACCCCCCCCAGGGGGATAGTGGGGCAGGGACAGAAATGTGGGACATGGAAGAGGTGTAATGTCATGAGAATGTCCCCAGAGCAAGTGATCTTTCATGAAGCGGGGAGACATGAAGAGGTTACCAGGCAAAGCATGTGGCTGAGAGCAATGGGGAGAAGCTGCAGAGAGCAGCAGCGCGAGAAGGCCGGGAAATGGGAAGGGATGTGGTTTTTTCAGGGAGCTGAGGGGCTGAGAGGAGGTAAACAGGAGCAAGGTTGCACCACTCCTTGAAGATTTTAGATTGGGAAGGCAGAGGAGTGACAGACTGGGTTTGAGAAGCTTTCTCGGGACCAGGCACAGGGGCTCCTGCCTGTAATCCCAGTACTGAGGGAGATGGAGGTGGGAGGATAACTTGAGACCAGGAGTTTGATACCAGCCTAGATAACATAGGTAGACCCCATCTCTTTTTTTTTTTCCTTTTTTTTTTTTTTTTTTTTTTTTTTTTTTAATTTTATTTTTTTTTTTTTTTTTTTTTTTTTTTTTTTTTTTTTTTTGATCATTTTACAAAGCAAGTTAGACCTCATCTCTACAAAAAAAATTTTAAAGTTAGCCAGGTGTGATGGAGCATGCCTGTGGGCCCAACTACTAGGGAGGTTGAGGCACAAGGATCGCTTGAGTCCAAAAGTTCAAGGCTGCAGTAAGCTATGATTGCACCACTACACTCCAGCCTAACAACAGAGCAAAACCCTGTCTCCAGAAAAAAAAGAAGAAGCTTTCTTTATGAGAATGGGTTGACCATGGTGTGAAGTAGGGGAGGACCAAAAGGAAGCCAGACAGCCCAGAGAGAAGGCAGAGGCAGGCCACACTAGATATGCCACTTCTGAGTACTGAGCTGTGGGCTCAGCATCCAGTTTACATGTGGGTGCTCGGTACTTTTAATCCTGATTGGGCATTTAAAAAATCAATGGGGAAAGATGAGGCAAATAGTTCTAAATATGTTTCTGCTTCAGTGGCTTCCCAGAGTGCTAATGTCACCAGAGAGTGTGTAGAGGGTGAAGGATTTTCAACTAATGCCACGTGGTACTTCTCTTCACCTTCAGGGCCACCTCAGAGACAGAGACAGGTGGAAGGATTAGATAACTTATTTGCACCCCTGATAGTGTGCTGTGCAGGGAAGGAGAGCCACCACCATACTAATGAGACATGACTGTCACGTTTCTAACTTATTATAAATCCACAGACTTCTAGATTTTAAGTGGCTTCCCAAAAGCAGCTTGTACAGAGGAGCCAGAGGTTTCTTTGAGCTGCGAGGCTCTGAGGGAGGCAGAGCAAGCTTGCGCTCTGTGGAAACGGCAGTAAGAGCAGCCTCCCTGCACCCCCGCTGCCACTCTCCTGGGCCTTTGTCTCACTGAGAAATAGCCAAATCATCTTGCCCAGGTAGGGGAGTGTCAGCCAGTGGCCTTGCATCCCTGAGTTGCCATATTTCAGGGTCCCAGCCCAGTGTACAGGCCAACCTAATGGACATACCAGGGGGTGGGGAGGAATAATGCACTGCTTTCCTTCACCCCAGCCCTTCCTGCTTCCCCATGAACATTTGATGATGCCAGCCCCAGGATCTGCGCGGGACACATCTAAAAGGGAACAAAGGGCCTGGCCCAGCCCGAGCCACTCTCTACCCCATTTTCCATTGTCATTGAAAGTGGCTGGCCCTGCCCCAGGCCAGGCACCTGCTAGGGTTGCTGGCCACTCCTGGGGAAGTCCTCTGTGTTTCTGATTTTTCCCTGTATGGCACTTGGTCTAGAGGGCTGGGGTAGGAGTTGCGATGTCAAGGAGAAAGCCAAAGAGCTGTCACCCTGCGGGGCTAACTGGACTCAACATGGAGAGCAGAGGACCCTTGAAACAAGCAGAAAACACATGGAGCAGAATCCCACAGCCTAGGCCTGGCACTACCACCAGAAAGCAAACAAGAGACTGGTCCTCAGGGAGGTTCTGTGCCCAGAGGGAGGGGCAGAGCCACTCTCGGGTTGGGACTTCCCCAGCCATACAGAGCAGGTTTTTATTTTATTTATTTTTTTAAATTATTTTTCCCCCTGCAGTATTTCAGGACAGAGCAGGTTTTTAAAGACTCCATCCCTCCAATTCTAACCTCTCCTTTATCCAGCCTGATTTTACTAGCAAGGGTATCCAAAGCTTTCAACCACAAGGACACTGCTAGGGGAAGGGCAGTGGCATCGCTAGGCCACTGCCATGTGCCAGATTCTCCTAGACCCATTTGGTCTTAGGGTCCTCCTGGCCCTGAGTGGGCTCTGAATTCCCTCAGGCTCCCTAATGGCATTTTGAGAAGAGGGGAGTTTACTCCTATGAGGTGGGGTCTGGGGGCTCAACCATTCTCTCTGTGTTCCTCTAGCCACACTGCCAGTCACAGTAAAGGAGGAGCTGCTGGTCCCTCTACCATTGGATGGTACTGTCACCTGCAGTGGAATAGTGGGAGCCTGGCCCAAGTTGGAACACAATTAAATTCGCTTCCCTGTGAGGCTGTTTTGGTGAAAGCCAGAGGGTTTGGTTTTCACTCCTATTATGCTCATTTTAAGTAAAGCTTGCAATTCAAACGAATTCTCCAAGGCTAGAGGAATTATTCCTCTGCATTTTTTTTTTTTCATTAAATGCCTTCCATTCTGCCGCTTAACATTTGCTGGTGGGAGGGTGTGCCTGAAGGCCCCTGAAGCTCTTCCCTGGGCCACTCAAGGAGAAGTGGTCAGCCGGGTCAGGAGGAGCTGTGCTGCAAGGCAAGGCTCTGCTGTGGCCAGGTGCCCACCTGCTGCCTGCTGATTCCTGCCTGACATCCCTGTCTCCAGCCACACTATTCTGCTATACCCTGTCCCTAAGGTAAGCTAGGCTCCAGGGATGTGAAGCCACCTGGGCAGGACCACCCCCCAACAGCCTGTGGGATGAGAGGGTAAACAATGGTGCTGCTTTGTCTTGTGATCTGAGTGGGGAAAGCAGGCATTTGGGAACTGGGCCTTTTACGCCTTTTCTAACCCCTTTGGGAGCTACTCTTTCCTGGGTAGGCCCTAAAGTCCCATCCAGCCCCACTGTCACAGCAAGGAAGGAAGGAGAGGTGGCCTGAAAGCCTTGGCTTGGGAATAGCTCTGTCAAACACCCAGCACCTTAGTGAGATGATCTGGAAACACCCAGGCATCCTCAGGACCAGAGAGGCCTCCCCTTCCCCCACCAGGGATGTGGAACAGATGAGAGGGCATCAAAGAGGAGGAGGCCCCTTCACTGAAGGATGCCCTGCCTCCCACCTCAGGCTGGTGTTGAGTGCCAAGCCCCATCACCAGTCAGCCAGTCCCAGTTTTGGAAGTCAGTGCTGGGGCTTGCTTGCTAGAAAGATCCTGGCCTGGGCGGCAAGACTAGTCTGGCGTCTAGTCTGCAGAAGCCCCCTCCACTCTCTGGGCGTTCCTCAGCTATAAAATTACAGAGTCAGATGAGCTACTCTCTAAGGTTCTGCCTGGCCCTGCCTTTTCTGATATTCTGAGCCAGAGCCCAGAATGACTTGCCTTGGTAGCCCCTGTTCGCAGGCTGAGAGCTGAGGCCTGGCTCTGGGGCCTCTGCCAAGGCTTGGCCCAGGTGGAGTCGGCTCCTGCTGTGAAAGTAGAGAGGGGGCCGAGTCTCCAAACCCGGCACTGATCACAGGAAAGCAAGCTTAGATGTCAGGTCTCCCGTCAGGCCCAGATAAAAGGCTTTGGACTTACCTCAGGAGTCTCCTCAGACAGAACGGCTCTGTGCTCACAGAAGGGAATTTATGTGTCCCTTTTTCTGGGCAGGACTGCCAGGGGAAGGGGAGAGATGAGCAGTGTGTGGCATGCAGTGGGGTGATAACACTGAGCAGATCACTGGGGTGTGAATGTCATTATCCCCATCATTGTCAACCAGGTCATATTGGTACAAAAGGTGTCTTTATTGAGGTCTGGGTTAGAATTAGGCACTTGGCCAGAGCAGCAGCTTAAATATGAGGCAAGCAGGCAGGGGTTAGCCATGCCCGGGGTTGGGTTGGGGTGGTGAGGCTACAGGCATAGACTGTCCCCAGGTGGACAGAAGTTGGGGTGGGAAAAGGAGGAGGAAGGGGCCAAGGAGCAGCCTGGGTCAGAGGCCTGGTGGGCCGGCCCAGTGGGACTAGGCAGGAAGCTCTGGGTGGCAGGTCCAGCAGGGGGGGAACCAGGCTCTCTTGCTCCATGTGCCCCTTAGACCCAGGCCTGAGCCTCTGGCAGGAGCAGCCGCACTTGGGGGTACGGTCTTCCCAAGCCTCACTTCTTCACTTTGGTGTCATAGGTGCCCGCGTTCTTGTAGGCACTCACATAGCCACTGTCGTCCAGGATGTCCTGCCGTCCCGCAATGCCCTTGCCCTTGCCACTCTCATCAAAGCGCTCCTTGTGGGAACCTGTGTACCTGCTGGTGTCTGTCAGCCGGTCCACAGCACCCCCTGTTTTTGCTTTCTGTTTGGACAGAGTTTCCCCAGGGACACCTGGTGAGAGAGCCCAGCCCTTCCCACCGACAGTCAAGATTCCCCACACCCTGACCACCCGAGACCAGCAGGGCACTTACAGTGACGCCCACATTGGCCGGCTCTTTGCCTGCCACCAGCTGGCAGATGGCATCGAAGGCCTCCTCCTTGCTCTTCCCCTTGAATCGCTTGGTTGCCAGCTCTTCCAGGGCCTTCTTGAACTCCTCATAGTTGATGACCCGAGCAGACTTCCCCCTGCCAGGCATGTGGGCATCATCAGTGTTCCCCTTTTTTTCCCCCTGGGGAAAGCACAAACACAGTCCCCGCCACCACAATTTATGCAATTGAGTTTCTTTCCCATATTTGGGGAAATCTCAGGAGTCAGCACCTCTGGAGGACAATAGATAAGGTTTGTCCTGGAATAATGATCTTTGTGATCATGGTATTTCCCTGACCCCTTCTCTATGTCCTCCCTGGTTCCAGCCCCCCCCAGTTCCCCACCCCCTGGGAACATGAGAAGCAGGGGCTGCCTGGGGCTCACTTGACTTTGGAGAAGACGATGTCCACATCAGTCCCTGTCACAGCCTTTCCGTCAGCCACCTTGCAGTCCTTGCACAGCTTGGCCCAGTTCTTGCCATTCATCTCTTGCCCACTGGCCTTGGGGTCGCCATGGATGGCAAACTTGCGGAAACTCTCCTCCAGTCCAGCGATGTCTGTGCTCGCTGCCATGCCACCCTGTAGAGACCCACCTGGGTCACCTCCCAGCCAAGCTGCCCTTCCCCTTCCCCAAGCCCAGAACATTCTGGCCTCTACCCAAAACTTGCAAGACCTGGGCAGGCTCTGCTACAGACAGTCGGAGCTGGAGCTGCCTGGGGAGAGGGGCCAGTCACTCTTGTCCTGGGCCTCAGAACCCCCAGGAAGATCCCCGGGAGGCACAGTCTTGTCACCAATGCCAGCCCTGGCTCTGAGCAGGGTTCAGCAGATGAAATCATGATGCCCACAGCAGGCTAGGAACAGAGTGGCACTGTCCAGAAAGACTGTGAGGGCAGCAGCTGGGGCCCTGGCTTTGTCTGACCCTGGCACAAGGCCTGCTTGGATGGAAGTGAGGGTGGCAGAGCAGGCCCCCTCCCTGGAAGCGCCATGCCAAGCTGGGTTGGGGCCAGGCAGGCTGCTGGTTGGACAGGCATTTAATGAGGATGGCGTCTCTGAGAGGGTCATGAGGACCCAGCAAGAGCCAGTCTGGGCAGGGGTGCATGCCTTGGGCAAGGGTGCAGCTGGCCCAGCAGGGCCTTGTTACTATTTGCTATTAAACAAAAACATGAGGGGAGCAGGAGCTTGGGGCTGGCCTGGCCACAGTTTGTGAAGCCTGGAGACGGTTGCTAAGGGAGGGTAGTGCTGCTTGGAGAATGTTGCTAAGGGCAGGATGGTGTCAGGGCAGCTCAGGGAGAAGCTCCCAGTGCTGAGGGGCTGGGCTGGGCTGGGCTGGGCTGGGGATCTGGAGCCACGGGTGGGGCACGCCAGCACTCCCTGTGCCTGGGGCATAACCGTGGCTTCCTGGCCCCTTGCCACCCACTAGGGCTGTAACCTTCCACTGTGGTGTTTTGGGGGAACAGGAGGTTAGGGGCTAGTTGAGGTGGGGTCTGTAGAGTTACAAACCCCAAGATTCGTGCTGGCAAGTGGGGATGTGGCTGAAACACACTTCCTCATGTCTACACCACAGCCCTCCACTGAGGCCCCTGGCCACGCCCTGAACTCAGCCACACATTCCCAGCGATCCTGTGCACTCAGCTCTGGCCTGTCACGCCCTGGGCCTTGTACCCCTGGCCATACCTTCAGCCTTACACTGCAGCCTCCTCCATCCTCACACCCACAGCCACAGCCCTCAGCCTCCGGCCCCCAACTATATACAAACAAGCCTGCACCAACCCCAGTAATACCCACAGCCCTGCACTAAAGTGCTCCCCACACCCACAGCCCTCCACTAAAGTGCTCCCCACACCCACAGCCCTCCACTAAAGTGCTCGCCGCACCCACAGCCCTCCACTTAAGTGCTCCCCACACCCACAACCCTCTGCTGCAGGCCCCTGGCCACACCCTGAGCCTGCACAGCAGCCTCCTCCATCCCCACACCTGCAGCCCTGGGGCTGAGGCCCCTGGCCACAAACCTGCATCCCTTCCTAAGACTCCCAACCACAGCCTCAGCCACTCACCCCCTCCAATACCCACAGCCCTTTATCAAGGCGCCCTGACCCTCAGCACCCCTTTGTCCCCACACCCGTAGCCCTCTGGCCACACCCTCAGTCCTGCACTGAAGGCCCCAGTCCACATCCACACACTGACATTATAAGACTCCCAGGATGGCCGGGCGCGGTGGCTCAAGCCTGTAATCCCAGCACTGTGGGAGGCGGAGGCGGGTGGATCACGAGGTCAAGAGATCGAGACCATCCTGGTCAACATGGTGAAACCCCGTCTCTA